CATCACCCCTGTTCGTTTGTTCTGCAGGTTTCTGCTGACCCGGTTAAAAGAGTTCTGTGGAGAGTTTCTGAAGAAGAAACTCAATCTCTCCAACTGCGTTGCGGTTCACAGCTTAGCCCATATGTATTCCCTGAATCAGCTGGCCCTCAAAGCTCAGGATATGATCAGGAGAAACTTCCACAAAGTTATCCAAGATGAGGAGTTCTACACTTTGCCCTTTCACCTCATCAGAGACTGGCTCTCAGACTCGGAGATCACAGTGCACTCTGAAGAAATCCTCTTTGAGACTGTTTTGAAGTGGGTTCAGAAAAATCCTGAGGAAAGAGAGAGATACTTTGAAGATCTCTTTAAACTGCTTAGACTGTCTCAGATGAAACCCACTTACCTTACTCGCCACGTCAAATCTGAAAGGCTGGTATCGAGCAACGAAGCCTGTGTTAAGTTAGTGTCTGAAGCTGTGGAGAGTCATGCCTTGCGGTCTGAGAACCTGCAGTCTGGTAATCTACAACATTCCGCTTGTCCTGTAGCGTTGTTGCCGCGTTTTGGACAAAACATGGACGTCATTATGGTGATTGGTGGTGTATCGGAGGGAGGAGATTACTTGAGTGAGTGCGTAGGGTATTTCATCGATGAAGATAGGTGGGTAAACTTACCACACATACATAATCATCTTGATGGGCATGCTGTTGCTGTGACAGAATCTTATGTTTATGTGGCTGGCTCCATGGAACCAGGGTTTGCCAAGACTGTAGAAAGGTACAATCCAAACAGAAATATTTGGGAGCAAGTCTCAAATCTAATAACCAGAAAGCATTCTTTTGGCCTTACTGAAGTTAAAGGAAACTTATACAGTATTGGTGGACATGGCAATTTCAGTCCTGGCTTTAAAGATGTGGCCATTTATAATCCCGAGCAAGACAAATGGCTTAACCTGGAGTCAGCACCAAAGATTCTTCGTGATGTCAAAGCTGTTTCTGTAGAAGACCGGTTTGTTTATGTTGCTGCTCGTACCCCAGTTGACAGTGACAGCGAAGATGGATTGAGGGCGGTTATCATCAGATACGATGCTGAAACAAGGCAGTGGCAGGATGTGGAGTCTCTGCCACTCATTGATAATTATTGCTCTTTTCAGATGTCTGTTGCTAACACAAACTTTTACCATACAGCATCGTGCTGCCCCAAGAGTTACCCTATAGATAATGAGGAAGCCAAGATAAAGATCTCTGGCAGGGCCTCAGATGAAATACTTGAAAGCTTACCCCCAGAGGTTCTTAGCATTGAAGGAGCAGCTATTTGTTATTATAAAGATGATGTTTTCATCATTGGGGGGTGGAAGAACAGTGATGATATTGACAAGCAATACAGGAAAGAGGCCTATCGTTACTGTGCTGAGAGAAAGCGCTGGATGCTTTTGCCTCCTATGCCTCAGCCTCGCTGCAGAGCAACAGCCTGCCATGTGCGAATTCCCTTCAGATGCTTGCAGGGAACACAAAGGTACCCCATGCCACAAAATTTGATGTGGCAAAAAGATAGAATAAGGCAAATGCAGGAAAGGCAGATGCAGGAAATACACCGACACTCCCTAAGCTTACGGAGAATGCCACGCTCGCAGATTGAGTGCTAGTTTCTGGAATATCACTCCTGATGAATCTAGGAAATACTGTGCTAAACCATTTTGTTAGGCTTGATATGTCTTTGTAAGACATGAGGGTGTTGATTGGATTTGATGCATAAAACCAGCATCTTTTATGTATTGAAAATTAAGAAGCTCAGAAATTGAGGATGGATGGGAATTGAGAAACTATGTGAATCCGACAGTATTACTTTAATGGTGCCTAGGGAAAAACTGTAGCCTGTAACGGGCTGTGAAATATCTCCAGGAACATTAAGTCTGTTATTTCTCTCTTCAGATCTTTGTTTTCAAGGATTTCTGTAGAGTTAGTCTCTAACAGTTCTATTTTGAAAATCAAAGATCTCTCTCTTAATAATTTAGTGGTTACATTTGTGTGTGCTTGAAAGCACCTGTTTTATTTGCACTTATATATTGACATTCCTTTGATTCTCTCCTTCTCAGTGAGTAAACTTCACATATAATTAGTGTTAGTGTACTTAGCTTTCCCAAGTTGGAGGCAAGTGCAATAGTTATACCTATATATGAAAACAAAGCACAATCTTTCCTTATAAAATTAGTTCAGGATGTTTCTATGTGTATTAAATATTTTGTATCTGTATGTTGTAGAGAGGCTGCAGAGTTTGTTTATAAATGGATGATTGGTAGAACACAAGACACTTGCTAAACCAGAGAACTTGAGGCAGTAGATTTTTTTCGGGTGTATCTGAAGATGCTTCGAGTTTGTCTTTGACAGCTTCATTAGAAACTTGGGTCAACAATCAGCCTGATAAAAGGGGTGAAAACCAGCAAACCACCCTCCAACATTGACTATTCACTTCTATTAGCGTGGATTAGTAAGAATGAGATTATTTCACAGTAAGAGATTGAAACCTGAGCTACTTGTAGATCCTTTCTCAAATGTTGCACGCCTTTTAATTCTAGTGAAAAAGTGATTAGAAGAACCCCCACTAACCTGTTTCCAGCCTGTCTTTGACAATCAGTACCCTTTGCCTTCCGTATACTTTCCCGAGAAACTTACAGTAGCTGTGCTGCAGTGCTCCTTAATGAATTGGCACTTGGTGTTCCTCTTGAAGGGAGATAGTTGGCTCTCGGTTACTGATAACGAGAAGATTTTCAGAGGCATTTGGAGTTTTCACAGGCTCTAAATATTTGAATTTCCCCACTTACTGTAGCAGTAAGATTTAAGCTGATTTAAATACCTTTTGGCTTTTTGAGGTGGTTTACATAAATCAGTGCCCTGGTTGCTCTGGTTTGCTTACTGCTTACTGCTATACTCCAAGGAACAGAATGTGGAATATTTCCTTTCGAGTATCACTGCCTCTCAGTTAACTGTCCCACTGAACACTCCTTCTCCCTGATCCAAAGAGCTCCAGGATGGTTTAGGTTACTAGCGGATTCAGTGCATCCTTCTACCTCCTTTTCTTCCCCGTCCTTCCCTTCATTTGAATGTTCCAGGTTTTCACATGCGACCTAACTCAGGATCTTAGGGAAGGGAAAGGGAGGAGTAACCAGGGTGTTCCAAACTTTGTGTGGACAAACATTGTTGGAGAATCTGTTTACTGTCTTTGGTTCATATGATGATTTGCTGGTGTTTTTGATGTGGGCAACTTCTTTGCAAAAGAAATTCTAAACAGTTTGGTTTTTTGTTTTGTTTTTTAATTGTTTAGCTTTCTGAGCTGATACTTCTCATTTTCCAATTCAGCAGGCAACCTAGATCATATCAGAAACACTGGGTAAGTCTTTCAACCACATAGTGTGTAAAGGTTTCTCTGATGTGTACATCCCTTAATGCTCCACTTTGCAGTTCACTTGCCACTTTTGATATCAATAACTTGTCTTTTTGTAATAGAATAATCTAGCCTTGTTTAAAAAAAAAAAAAACAAACAACCTTGAAAATCTTAACAGTTTAGTCTCAATTTACTCATCTATGGTAACTGTGTTGTATTTTATTTGCCTGTAGAATTGTTATGCAAGGGCAGCTTAAATTGTACGATGCTGGCCTAATGCAAGAGAGGAAATAGGTAAGCTTGTTCAGGTTTAATGCTGATGTTCAGACTTACAAAATCAGTTCATGCAGGCCTGTAAGCAAGGGGTTAATCAGTGGCATTTGGTCCATGAACTCTTGCAGATTTGGCTGGAGTAATTTAAGAATTCCTGCCCCTGCAGCACGGTTTGTGAATAGAAGTGTGAAAATGCCTCACAGCTTTAGTACTAAATCCATTGATATAACTTAAATTTGTGGGAGCTGATTTTAAGATACTTTACCAGACTTTGCACAGAAGCAACTGAGAAGATTGTACATACTCCATCCCACTGACTTTGCTGTAGGGATTTTTCACATGCAGTTGAAGGATGGTAGTACATCAGACCACCACAGCTCTGTCAAAGCCCTCTTGTAGTCTGTCAACAAAGCTGGACAATTTGTAGGGAGAAATACCAAGATTATTACTTCGGTTGGAATATGAACTAAATAGTTTAACTTGTGGCAGCATGCAACAAAGTTAAATGCAAGAACAAAGTTCTTGCAGTCTTTCTTTTTCTAAGCAAAATTGATATTGCACTTAGCAGGAGAACTTTTGGGTGACATACAAGCTGTGTAGTTTACTAAAGACATTCCACTCAAAGACAATGTCAGAACAGCTTAGCGTCTCGACAGCTTAACTCGTGAATGCCAGCCATGATTCTGTATGTGATGCACTATATCTCCGTATGTTCTATTTGCATGGTGAGTGATGGGCACTGTGAACAGCACTGGTTTGCTCTAACTTTTGCTATGCCAATTCTATGGAATTTTTAAGTAGTTGGGGTGTTTTTAGCCTTGACTTTAAGTGGACCAATTGCATTGCACGTGGTTTTTAACTGACAAGCCTAACTATCCATAGTATCACATATAGGTGTTCGGAAGAATTGCATTATTGACTCTGGCTGTAATTCAGCCCACTAACCTGTGAATTGCATAACAAATTCCTGGTGGCCTTTGACTGCCGTAGCTTGCTGGATGTTTATAAAATGATCCTATAAACAAAAGCCTGGGAATTCTTTCAGTGTGTTTATAGTGGCTAGTTAAATGTCAGTAAGATCCCAGTGTGTATTCAGTTAAGTATTAGAAGGCTGACTTCTGGCCTTCCTAATGTAAAAGAACATCAGGTGGAGTTTTTCCTCCGCCTTACGACAATCATACCTCTATACCTGTACTGAATACGTGCCACAAAATGCATGTTTCATGTCCTGTCTTTCTGCTCAAGGTATTAGTAGAGTAGGACACATCCTGCCTAGCACTCGGTTGTCATTGTAGTAATTTGTAGGTGCCATATGTGTACATAATATTTTATAACTACCTGACTACTCTGTTAGTATGCTGGGTTTGTATGTATTTTTAATGAGACTTTCTCTTGCACATAGTAGGATACCACTCCAGAAATGAAGAAAACATGCCAACTTTTTAGCATGCATTATGAATAATAACTATGCCAAGCATTCTGCTATACTATTTCAATATAATTTTTCTCCATTACAGTAAATGTTAAAATCAGAACTATTGGCTCAACTTGTGTGTCACGGAATATACTGATTGCTACTGGCAAACTGAGTCACAAAGAATTGCAACTTCTTAGGTTATTTTTAACATAACCTTGCAATAGTATGTTGTAACATTCAATGGGCTTAAAAAAGCAAGCTTAAAATAAGTGGTTTATGGCTTAGATTTATTTTCAGCTATGTCCACATTATGTTAGGGTATAAATCATATCCCTAATTTGATAGTCCTGAGTGGAAGTCTGATAAAACAGGTGCTCCTGAGGGTCTCGTTCTATTACTAATATGGATGTAAAGTGTGGAACTAATGAGATGTTTGAAGACCATTAATAGTCAGATACTCCTCATAGGTCCATGTCACTGTGGATCACGGCAGCTGTGCTCTCCTGTCGATATTAATGTAGACTTCAACAGATTGCTTGGGGAAGCAGCACTCCTGTACTTACTTCCAGTAAGGTAAAGTAGTATGTGTGTATAGGCCGTTCGAAACAAATCCTACTGTAATGTTCTTTACCTTAAGTACACTGTACTAAAGTTTATTGTAATAAGTGAATTAATGAAAATAAACTTTTTATTTCTCTAGCATTCTGTTGTACCTTTTCTTTTTTAAGTTGCTGTGTAGGCTGTGGCTGATACATTTTGTGGTGCCATAGAATGGAAGTTTTAAATACTAATTATTCTTTTGGTCTGTATCAATTGTTTTTATTTTAGAATAAGTGAATACATTCACTTGCTGCTCAGAAAACTTTATTAGCTAAGTGGAGCTGTTCATACAGGCAGGCTACTTGTTGAAGAAATGAACGTGACTTCCTTTGAAGGGTTGTCCGCATAGCAATCTCGTCTGGCAACGTACTCCCTGATGTTAGATAGACCTGGCACCACGCAGCAGCTCAGAGCACTACGGTATATGCCCATGTCATGAACATCGTACCACTCATTAGCGTTGTCATCATAGCACTCAACATTGAAAGTAGTAGTAAAACCATTAAAGCCACCAACCACAAACAAAAGATCATCCACCACTTCAATCCCGAAGTTGCTGCGAGGATTGAACATGGTGTGGACTGTGCGCCATGTGTTGGCAACGGGATTGTAAGCTTCTGCACTCCGAAGCCGGTTGACTCCATCAAATCCTCCTACCTGTGAATGCCAAAGGCACAGAGTTGAAATAGGCCTTTCCTCACCCGCTAAGTCGGCCGAATCATTTTGCGCACAAGTGAGGTGGTAACTGGTCCTGCCTCACTGACATCAGTTTGATCGTTGCTGAGCGCGTGTGACCTCAAAACACAGCGCCTGCTTATTGCAGACTGCTCCCTTGTTCTTTCTGGAGCTTCCAAAAGTTATTTTGTGCAACTGTCAGATTTTATGCTTCTACAGAGTTTAAATGCAGTACGTGGATAGGATAAACAGGACCAAGCAAATGTTCTGTGCTGCTAATGCTGTCAGCAGCAGAAGAAAATAATTTCTGTGCTGCAGCTGCTTAAAAACTGTCCACACGTTTTTCATAGCAAAGTGTGCAGGTGACAATATTCTCGGGAGGCGTATCAACCATTCTGGCTCTGACTTTCTTCCCTAAATCTCACTTACAAGCAAATGGCCAGCCTGAAAATCTAGGAAATGCAGATTAGCAAAAATAAGTACCACAAGTACTGGGTAGTGTT